CTGTATCATCATTATGAGTATTCGTCCGCACGGAACACGTTAAAGAAGTATCACTTACATCACTGCGAATGTTCTCAAACCATTCGGTATGACGCTTTTCGACATGCTTACGCCAGAAATGCTCCGCCTTGAACAGCTTGGTGCATTCAGGGACTTTGCAGCGGTACTTGGACTCATCCTCCTGCTTCATATATTTTGCGAGCTCCTCCTCCAAGGCGTCTTCAACGGGTTTGCCACCCAGCTTCCCGATATCGACATTCTCTGGCTCAAGGATCTGCAAGAGTTTGTCCTCGAAGGTCTTGACCCAGTTGAATGCACGCTGAAGCTGTTGTTCGGTCTTAGAACTGAAACGCTGTGGCCGCTTCTCCTCCGGCACAGGCGGCTGCTCCTCGCCCTCTTCACTGGGTTCCTTCTTTTTGACAGGGAACGGCTGTCCAAGAGCGCTAGCCCGGGCCACAGCCTTCGACTGTGTAGTGAGACCGGCCCGGGGCCGACGCAGATGTCCACCAGGGCATTTTCGAGCAAGCTCATGCACAGAGTCACTCTCAAAGACACAGAAGAAACAGAAATTGTAGACCCTGCGAAGGTATTCAACCATCAGATCCAACTTCTTCTTCTTGGCCAAGAGCTCCTCATCATCGAGTTCGTCATCTTCCCATCCTTCCTGTTCTTCGCCCTCTTCTGCCTCACCTTCATCAATATCATCGGCATCGTAGTCGGGCTTCCTCTTTTTGACACTGACAGGCCCCGTGACAGGCGGCTGAAGCCAGCCTTTGCCACGCAATTCCTCGACTCGCTCTTCGATTTTGGAGAACCCGTCAGCACTTGCTCCCATCTCATCATCGAGCTTCGACACCAGTCTCCTTGCCAGCTCCAGGTCTCGTGAAATCCGCTCTGGCGACGAAAAGAGATCCCACAAGGCCTTCTTACGGGGTTGCGAAGGTGGGACATGAACACCCACGTGGCAGACAAAGTCACCATGAACAGGATCATGGATCGTTTTGTCGTTGATTGCTTCAAGCGCCTTCTCGGCAGCAGTCTGTGTCCCCGATCCATTGGCTGCGTGATCATGTTCCATTTCCTCGCCCTCTTCCTCCCTTCCATCCCCCCTCTCGACGACCTCGACGTCAGGCGCAGGATGGAGCATGATCCAACCCATCCGATGGTACTTCTTCGACGGATTGGGGTCGCTGAGACTAAGCCACTTGAATCCACCATCTTCCTCACCCAGATGCTCCTTACAGAACTCTTCAATCTTCTCGCGACTCACATTGGGCGCTAGAGTCTTGATCAAGAGAGCAGACTGAGACAGAGCTTCGTCACGCAAGTCACCGCCTCTTGCTGGGAGCAAATCCAGAACACCCAGTGTTTCACCAACTGCGGTGGTTTCACCCTCTTCCTTCTCAATCACACCCCCTGCACCGTCACTTTCACTCTTGTAAATACCTTCAAGCGTGAACTCATCAAAGAGACCACTCTCAAGGTCTCTCTCCCATTGTTGATAGGCACCCATGCGGAAATCCATCAGCTGACGACGAAGAGGATCCCTGACCTCAGGAACATAGCGCTCTCTGAACCACTCCTCGTTCCGATGATGCTGCACAAAAGCACGGGCCATCTTCGCTTGAAGATTCACCTTGTATGAATCATAAGCGGCCTGGATTTGTGCTCTCTCTCTTTCCCGATCTTCACGAGCCTCCCGCTCCCCTTTGACGCGATCAGAGGGACGCCGACCACCGTGCTTGGCGCGTTCCTTTTCTTCTTTGATCGACTGCTCCGCGCGCCACCATTCGGCAAACCAGTTGAACCCCACTTGAAACTCCAGGGTTAAAGGGTTCGGAAGCGGATTGGTGGGAATAGGGCGCTTAACAGAATCTTGTCCTGGGACATAGCGGTCGATATTGGCAACGGTCGGCGAAGGCGCACGGCGACGGTCTTCACGGTCACGCCCGGCATGCTCCCGAGAGGCAGCATAATAGTCGTCTCGCGATGCACGGCGATCCGAAGGTTCGTAGCGGTCAATCATAACGGGTGAGCGAGAACGACCGCGTGCTCGGCGTCGATCTTGAGATACTGCGTGCGTACCAGTGGTTAGATTGAAGGGCCATGACCAGTGCGAAAGCATCCGGATGGTAGTCTAGGGACTAGAAACTTACCAGGTGACCTGCGACGGTATGAGTCCACTGGGACCCTAGAAGCATAGGGATCGCCAGCTTCCCGGCTTCTGCCGGGGGACCCGTAACTCTCGTATGAGTCCATGGAGACGAGGTTATGAAGAATCGCGTAGACCGGAGCTCTTGTAGGTCGTAACGGAGAGGATCGGAGCCGGCTACCAGACAATGGCCGAGGGTCGCGCCCAGGACGGTAAAGACAGAAGGCGTAAGCTAAGATCCGAAATGATCAACATTAGAGCAAGTCCTTCACGTGTGCAAAAGTGCCGGGTAGGTTGGACGTTGACGAAGCAGGGTTAGGGGGCGAGTTGGGCAAGAAGAAGATGCAAATGAAGCTGGTTGCCGGAGGCCGGCCATGGAAGAGATAGACAAGGCATGATTCTGGATAACGATGACAAGGGCGAACCCGGAAACTGAGAAGATGAAACGCAAGTGCGCTCGCGAGAGCCAAGAGAAGACGAGAGAGAAGAGAGGGCACAAGGTAGACAGTAGAGAGTAGTTGGTCAATCAGCACGGAGTGTGGTGCGAGCCAATAATGGCGCGACGATAAAAGGAGGGAGTCCAAGATGAGGTTTTGAGTAAAGAGAAAGAGACGGGATGAAGCACAAGTGAGGCGCGGATCCAAGTGAATTGGATGGATGACAGGGACAGGTTTGGATTGAGATAATTGAGCAGGGGCAAGGGGACGATGAGAGACAAAGGCGCTGCAATGGAATTGACTGAACACAATAGAGAGAGAAGAGAGAATGAGAGAGAGGATTGAATGGCAAGGCAGGCGACCTACAAGAGAAGCCTTAAGAGGAGAGAATTGGAGATCCAACGAGATGCGAAGATGATGGACGGAGTACTAAGTCCAATCCGAGCTTGAGCAGATCAGACGATATAGACGAAAATCGCAACAGACCGGGACTAATCACCGGGCAAGGCGGGATGATATATAAAAGGATGGTTTTGTGTGGGGGGGAATTAGAGGGAGAGGAGAGAGAGAGGAGAAGAAGAAAGGGAAGGAGGAGAGAAGGCGAGAGAGGGAAGGGAAAGCAGCGAAGGAGAGAGACAGGATTGGGAAGTGAGGCTGGAGCGCCGGAGAAGGGAGTCCCGCCTAGTCCCAACCGGGCATAGCGCCCCCGGGTTGCCTTCTGGTCGCCGCTTCATCAAATCAATAACATGGAGATACAACTAATCAAACGGTGTGTATGCCTCCTCTCTCATCCCCCCTAAACAGGCTTATAGCAGGCAATTGAAAGTAATTCTTCTCACTCACCTGGCATCTCGTTTTCCTAAAGTTTCAGGGTAATCAGATTCTTTCGCAATCTGATGCTGATGAAACCACGCCAACAACGGGTGGCAAACAGAGACGAGGGAAGCTCTCAGCTCAGTCGCAGCTATAAAATAAACCACCAAACTGGGAGAAATTCAAAGATGGAACCCAGCATGGATCTAGGAGAGCAGGATTGAGAAGAGGAGCAATACGAAACCTGCCTTACGATGAATACAGCGCACATATGTCAGCACCATCTAACTCGGAATTCACTATACCAATTTCACTCCCCTCTTACTTCATCCGAGGCAAAGTGAAGACTCGCGGCCTGCTAACTCTATTCTACTCAAAGCACTCACACTGTAGGGACCTGCTCTCAGGTCAGGCCACGAAAACAAGGCAAGCACGACTAGTAACGAGTTCGCCAAGTATGTCTTGATATTTGTACACGACTAGTAGGGGAATCATCCGTTGAAGATCAGGGTAATATATCAAACGAGGCATCAAAGGGGGCAACAGAGAAGGGCAGGAGGGAAACAAGCATCGGCTGTGGCAGCCCAAGACCACCACAGCCTCGCATGTCAGACCACACTCGTCGATGCACATTCAGGAAGAGTGGCATCGCAGGGGGCCTCGCAGCCGCACCGAAGACGGAAAGATCCCAAGTCACATTCATGCACTACCCCAATGGCACAAACAGTCAATCGGGCCGTTCCATGAAATGCACGGAATGAAGACCGTCGTCGAATTCTCCAGTCGGGAACGTTCCATATCCAAACAAATTCCCAGAAAGGCGACTGTCGGACAGTGCCCAGTGTCTCGACTTTGCTGGGCAAATCCGCGGCACGGAACCAAGACATGCGTGCACCATCCACCGCCAAGGGATATAGACTCTGTCGCCGCGCCACCCAACCTCGGGGTTTAATTTTACCAGCGATGGGCTTCAATCTAATACCAACCAAGGCCCGAAGCACGACGCAAAAGAACGGATCCGGATCAAAGCGGCGGTCTCAGGCACAGGGGAAGAAGGAACACAGTACACCAAAGTTGCCAATGACATTGAGTTGCTTGTCGACAGGGGGCCTGACGACAAAACATATAAGAAGGCTGCCGCCAGCTGTGAAAACCACGACCTTCGGGTATTAGAGACCGGGTCATGCAGCATCGACAGTGGGACGAACGTAACAATTCATGAGTTTGAGAATCGTGCACCATCCCGAGAAATGAAAAAGAAAATAACAAAACATAATCATCTCATACATGCAATCCTAACAGGCTGAACATCGTTAGATGAAAGGAAATAGGAAAATAGTAATAATACTTCGTGCCAGCATAACAATATAAACAGACATAAAAGTTTCAAACGGATGAAACGAGGCGTTTCCGACGAAACCAGAGGGAGGTGGGAATAACGTCAATAAGTACGAGAGAAGATGGGGCAGTTGCGCGTCGCTCGCTGCGGGGAGTAAAGTCAAGACGGGGGTAAAAGAAATTCCAGACATCCATCCATCATAAAGGGCTATTGTGGGTAAGCAGGATTTTCGCAAGACGGTCCTGCAGTCAGGTACCGCTCAACCATCCTCGTCGGACAGCTCAGCAGATTCATTCTCGCTTTCGTCCGCACTAGTGCTCGGTTTCGCACTGGTTTTCGTCTTTTTAGACGAGTTGATGGTGTCATCGTTGACATCACTTGATTTTCGTTTCTGGGCAGAAGGCGGGTTATCGCCGGGAGGTTTCACCGCATTATCATCAGCGGCTTCAAGCCCAGAGGTTGTAGATCCGGATGCTTGCTTCTTTTCCATAGCAGCCACTTCGTCAGCCGTCAAGAATCGCCCGCCGGGACCACGAGGGCGGCGCATGGCATGGTTGTGACGCGATTCGTGCAGATATGGCTTACGGCCCTTGGACGTGAGCCGCAATTGCTCCTCCAATTTTTGGCGCGCCACTCGTCGTTTCAGGATGCGATGAAACTGCTTCGCGTTCACGTATAGCGGTGATTCCTCAGCGGCGCCAGCGACCATATCCGGCGAAGGTTGGCTCTGCTGGACAGGCGGCTGAGGTGGTGGCGGCATAGATGGGGGCACCGAAGGCCGGCCGGCATGGTTGATAAGTGGTTGGGCATTCTGAACATGTGGGCTACTGACATGGCTCATGCGACGTTGCTGCATCTGGGCGTTCTGGGACATCTGTACCTGGGATCCCATCGATGGCATCTGGCCGGGAATCTGGGGTGGAGAACGAGGATTGCGGTCACTCTTGACCTGCACCCCGGCCATGCGCGGAGATCCGCGGGGACCAGGAGCCATCTGGCCAGCCATCGAATCTTGATGTAAAGGATAGAATTGGCCCGATGCTGCAGCGGTGGCCATTGCAGCCGCTTGCGTAGGGGAGATACCATACGTTTGTGGCATCGCCGTGGTGACTCCATACGACTGAGGGAAGTTCATTTGCTGATGTACAGAGCCCGGGGCATTTTGAGCAGGCTGATAATGAGATTGTGAGGGAACAATTGGGGACGCTTGATGTGTAGCGTGAGCTTGTTGCATGTGCGCTTGAGGGTTGGTGGGAGAAGTCATCGACCCCACGGTTGACCCAGCATTTTGAGGTGCCGTCTGATACGGGGCAGTGATGTGGGAAGAGGCGTGGGGATGCTGGCCATGAGGCTGTTGATACTGCGGCGGGTATTCCATCATGGAGCTGCGACGGGGTTTACCGTCAGGCTTCCAATTAGAGTCGTGATTGGAGTACACTGGCTGTCAGGAACCAGGAGTCTAGGACCAATAATACGGCCAAAGATGGGCCAATCCCAAGGGATTTCACTCGTCTGAGATCGAAGTGGCGAAAATAAGGAAGAATGATAGGTTGTCAACAACACAGTTGCACTTGACAATATCACCGTCGTGCACAAAGGAATGGCGGTTGTTTACTGATTCGACGAGTGAACTGCGAAAGTCTGCAGGCTCTGGTTCATAGTGTCAGCATGGAGCGCAGCGCCAAACGGTCACTGGATTGCGGGTGGGGGTTGGATGGGAACAGAGGAAGGGCGCTTACACCGGGGGCGCGTACCTCTGTTTTTGTTTTGCCAATACACCCACTCATCAACTTCTGGCGTCAAGAAAATTCGCCCAAAGGTGAACGCTTGTTTGCCGAAATGCTTCAGCCCGCTTTTTCCGGAGGTTCTGCGTCTTTTTGTGGAAATCTTACGTTCGCCTCCAAGTGTAACGTGGTTGGGCTTCGATGCAGGGAACCAGGATGTCCTCGACAAGATGTCGCACTTGATGCGTTGTCAGACAAAGCGCGATCTTCTTGATAATGGCGCTCAAGTCTATCACAGACACAAAGACTACGCAGTATAAGGAGACGACAACTGGCAGGCTACCTGGGTAATGCTGCTCAGTTCCTAAATTCGTCAGGCTGCTTGGCCACGTTCGTATGAGGCGGTGCTAGAGCAACCTGGTGAATTAGTTCGCCTGGGCCCGGGAGTTTGGAATTATCCTGGTCCGCGGTCTCCCGAACTATAATGCCACTCGACGCTGTCGTCAGGGTACGCCTGAGAGGGGCTCGCACGGCTCAGTGGACTACAAAAGACTATTAGCATCTATCTTTCCCACCATCCCGAAACTTTCGGCTCCTGATTTGTGCGCTGTCACGATTGGAGGAGAGAGGGGGGGGATAGGAACTGTCAATTCGATGGTGGTGGGGGGGTGAGGTAGGAGGGGGGAAACATCGTGGCAGTTTAGTCTTTTCAGGGCTGAAGGATGTATGCGTTGGCAAGTGGAATCATGATGCAGCCGGCAACATACCTTGTTCAAAAGCGACGCACTCGCGACCCCAAACAAGGGTAGGCGGAGTTTTGCGCGCGCGCGCGCAAAAACGGCACTTGAAAACAGGGAATCAAACAGCCGTGACGGAGGAGCTATTCTGCAGTCTCCGACCGTAGAAAATCGGATGCGCGCCTATTGACAGGTCATGGTGTTAGATAGCTGTCAGAGAAGGGCAAAGGCAAGGATTGACGCGTGGTGATTGGGCCATCATGGGGCGGGGAGTCGGGGTTGCAACTGAAACGCGACAAGAAAACATAACAATGCATAAGCCATAGCAGAAGCTCACAGGGACCGGGGATGATAGGAGGAGTCGCAGAGGGTCTTGCGTGCAGTACTTAGAGTACATGCGACACTAAATCTAATGGTTTGATTTGCTTTTGAAGGTGGGTAACGCCAGCCATAACTTTGAGGGGGGGGAAGGAGTAGGAGGGTGGGCAGTAGGGAATCACAGCGCTGTCGCGGTTTGCGGGCCGCGGCCAGAGAGGGAGCCAAGAACAACAACAGGCGGGCTTGCCTCGTGGTTTGAAAAGGTTAATTACCTTTATCAAGGGTTATTCTCCGCAGGTGGCAGAAAAGCCTCCAATGCAGAGCAACACAGGAAAGCGACTCGTTGTAATGATTTGACGAGGGCTTTCAGTCACGAGGGAAGGAACCTGTGATGATTCGCGGGGCGATGGCAACGCGACGAAGCTCTGCCAACGAGAGAAAGGCGGACAGGCAAAAGGGAAGGTCCGTTTCTTTCACCGCACGGTAGGCTGCCGCTGATGTCAGTCCGGCCCGGGTTGATCCGCGACCGAAGCGGCAAAACAAAATGGGAAATGATAAAAAAAAGAAAAACAGATGACGGAGGGGTATATGGGTGTATGGAAAAACAGAAATGATGTATGCATGTAAATAAAACACAAGACTAGAGCGAGTAGAATAAAGGAAAATCAAAAGATAAAATCAAAAAGTGGAGTGGTTCGGAGAACAAAGCAAAGAACTCAAAAAGAATAATAAGAAAGACCAAAAATAGACTAGAATCAGTGGAGAGGGCTGTAGCTTATGGTCATAGCTACACGATGTTTGGACAGCAGAAAGCAGATGCACCACCAGACAAACAATGGAAGAACAGACAACAACATGGAGCGGGGGTGGGAAAGAAGAGAGTGAGTGAGTGAGAACCTCCAATGAATTGTGAAGATCCGGCCTCGGTACAACAAAGAATACAAATGATTGGGCGCGCGTCAAATTAAAGTATGCAATCACAAAATAGGAAAAAATAACAAAGTTGAGCAAGGGGCAGCAGCAGCAGCAGTAGGTAGTAGATAGTATAATATGGCTAAAAACGTACCTTAGATGATGATTCGACCACAACCGTGGTAATGACAGAAAGGGAGGATGGAAAATGATCAATCACGAGAGTGAAGCGGATGGGGTGGGAAGGAAGGGAAAGGCGGGCAGTGATTGGGTTGGACAAGAGCAGACGGGTTAATCTGAAGCCAGCCCAAGCAAGCAGCGAGTAGGAAAAAAACAAATTGGGAGGAAACCAATGGGCTCTGCGCAGCCAGGACAGTCCGACGTTGTTGACTGGAGGGCACGCAAGGACTGGAGAGGTTGGATGACCAACGAGAGGGAGCAGAGAGAGAAAGCCGCAGCGAGAAGAAGGGGCGAGCGATGGGGCATTTGTACCGGACGCGCTCAGAGGGTAGCTGAGTGGCTCGGCAGCTCGTTAGCGGACAAGGCGGCGAGGATTCAGACCAACAAAGGCCACGACCATACTGTCCGGTATCGACCCCAGGGTTCGCTCCACTTAGCGTCTGCGTTCCTTGCCCGTTTGGGTATGGTGTGTATTGCACTCCCGTCTTGTATGGTCATTGTATCATCCGTCTTGTATGGTATCTTTCCACACCTTTTTTTTTTTTGAGTACCAGCCTTTTTTTTCAAGATGAGATGATGATGGGATGGGATGGTGGATGGCCGGAAAACTTTGGGGTCGAGGACACACCACACAACTCTCTTACTTACTAGTTCTTCTCTCTCTCTGTCTCTCCGTGCCGCCGGGCCCAGCTTGCTCAATCTCGGTTCTTCACTCTCTATCACAAAACCAACCTCCACCATTCCTTTCCCCCCCCAATCCCCTCCCCCTTCCCTCTTTCTTTCTCTCTCTCTTTCTCCAATTTCCCAACCCGTTTGGAGGAAATTGACAATGGGATGAGTAAGAGTATCACACCTCACCCTCAATTCTCACCCATGTCCACAAGATTACATCTAAACCCCGAAAATCAAAAAGAAATATAATAAAAAATATTATCATTTCTTATCTAAGATAACCACCCATTATAACAACTTACATACTATGCAAAGCATCCGGCCATCCCGAATTCGTGATGTTCATCATGTGCAACCCAAATCTGGCGAATCGCCCTCGGGAATAAAACCTGTATGACCCAAGGTCAGCTCGACCAGCCACCCCCCATTGGTCCAGCTGGGCTTTCTTTGGTTTTGTTTTGCGAATCATGCTTTTACATTAACCAGAGGGATTATGTGACTGGCTTCGATTTGCAATCGCTGTCTTTCATCATTTCTTCTATTCTTACTTTTTTTCCCTACTTGCGTTGTTGTTCCCCCGCCCCACCCTGGACGGGAAAGCAGTAAGACAGGCTGTTCTTCTGACGCAGATTTTTGTGCTCGGCCTTACGGAGTAGAAAACGAAAGAATAAGGTGAAACGGCTCAATGCGCAACAAACGCAGATGCCACCTTGAGACGTGAAGCATAAAAAAAGGAAAAACAGGGAACGGGCTGAATGAAGTGGACAGGTAGGATTGGAAGAAATAATAATATAAAATATAATAAAATAAATAATAAAAAAAGTTTAAGATGGAATTTGAAATTAAAAGAAAAAGAAAAGAAAAGGAAGGAAGACAAGCGCCGTGCTATCACACTGACAGACACTTTACTAATGCACAATGCAGTTTCTTGCCATGGGATCACATTGTTGTTTCTACGCAGGAAGCGCGGCTCGATTCTTGCTTTTCTTACGTACGCGTTGAATACCCCCAAACGTCAGCGGAGTCAATCGAAGCCACGGCCAGCCTCGGTTATATGACCAATCTAGGTAAGACTCCCTGGGAATCTCCATTTCCCTTGTGGCAGGTAGATAGCGGGCAAATATCAGCCGGTACGAAATGAGCGACATTGATGTCTTAGGCTCAGCACAGTAATTGTTGATGCTTCTTCGCATAACTTGCAGATGGAGTAGTCTAAAGTCTGCTAAAATTGCAGAAGAAGATTAGCCACCTATAATTCATTTCCCGAAATTGCGACCAGTGTGGACTATATATACTTTTAGCAGGACTAATTAAAGCATCAATTACTGATGTAGTGGGATGACTCGATATATATATATTTATAATCGTATCTGACATCCATCACTACTTATCACCATTGAGTTGAGCACATCTCTGGCTACTGATTATCATTGACTCTCTGCTGTCTACTACAAATGTTTAAACTAACTCAAAAGTTGTAAGTTGTTGAAGCGACACTATTACAACTTTTCGTAGTGTTTCTGAGGTCAAGTGCTACTGTAGTCAGTATATTCAGTTGTTGCCGGCTGAGGTCAAGTGACTTACGGAGACCTCTCATCAAGTATTAGCGTTATTAGATTTACACAGTGAAAATGGTATATTACCCAGATGTACGAGTAGCCTACCGCAGATTGAATACTGCGGACTGGGCCGCCTGTTTTCTTTTTTCGGTTTGTAGTGAATTGGTATCCATGCCCCATTATATTTAATGTGAATTTGAGGGACCAAGCCATTGAGTCTGTTTTACTTGACGAGAGAAAGGCAGGCGAATGAGATTTGACCGTCACAGTAGATTAGATCGAATTAAATTACCATGGTATTATTAAAGTCATAAGTTGCATGTTGCACAGGAAAAGCCTTATAGACGCTACTAAGACCAAGGGCCTTGCACGTGTCGTAGCCATGACGAAAGTCTTTCTTTCTTCCTCCGAGATACGGACTTCTTATCCATCCCGGAGTCATAATGGCTGTCAGGAAGTACGTACAGATCTAAGCGAAAGGAGGATCTATAGAGTAGTTTACTATCAGAATGGGTTCCCTTCTTGAAGACTGACCGGCACGATGGCAAAGCAGATTGGGCGTCGATCTGTTCCACTCCACGTGTTGAAGCTTGACCGCTTGGGTCTTCGGATGGAGACTCGTCAGTCTCACAATTTATCGGTGCACTTTAATGAAGTTGCATCAACTAAACTATGGCAGTAGACCTTATGGAATTCTTTTAAAGCCAGAGGAGCAGGTTCCTCAGAATGGCAGGTTATATAGCAGCAACAACCTATAACCTCCAATTGTCTTGTTTTGCTTCTCTTGCTCTCTCACCTGAATGGACTGCGCGGAAGGCGGCAAGTACCGGCGTATCTAAATACAGCCATCGCGTATGCGGACCGTACAAACATACGTGAACGGAAACGCGATTACGGCATGTATATGGAACGTCTGTAATTTGGGTCGGTCGAACTCTCTCAGCACTGACTGTCATGGGGGAAGCTCGAGCCATCTGACGTCAAAGTCAACTAGCCTTTCCCCGCCACACCGCTCCTCGTCGACATTTCAGTATGAATTCAGAATTCTTCTTTTTTTATTCCCTCCGGAAGCTCCTGTTGATGAGCAATGTTACAGGAATGCGTCGGCGATCCGATGTAGAAGAATATTCTCGTCTCTGTCGCTCTCAGATGTTGTTTTAGCCTGGTCTATGCCTTCTTAAATGACCAATCACGTATTCTTTGTGTCAATCCTCTCTCAGTCATTCCGTAAAATTGTAGTTGTATCGGAAGGCAGTGCGGTCCGTGGAAGTACCATGTCACAAGGATGGAGTAGTATGCCTAAGGCACTAACAGGCGCCGAGGCTTTGTGAAGGTCCCGCTAACCATTCCACCGGGAACCTCTATCTACATATTCATCCACGAATAAACTCGCTTGCCTCCCGTCGATGATGGGGCTGCCTTATGGCAACTTATATGTCTTCGGTGTGATAAACACGCTTCAAGCAATACGTCCTCTCATCAATTGTTATGTTGTAACAGGCTAACCTCTCTCAGTGAACAACTAGGCGGCTGCCATTTTGATGTGTACATCGTCCAACCTGGTAAAGCGTTGCTTTCGAGTTCCTGCTCCTACGGAGTAAGTATAGCTCGTTTGTCTCATCTATTCTGGCTTCCTACTTTGCTGTCCAACTTATGTGACTGTATGGCTTGTAGTCAAATAACGCATGAAGACCGATATCGACCGATTTTCTTCGTGGCTGGAAATTGCCTTCCACAGGACTTCTATTGCAACCCCATGCGAATGAACCTAGTGTTGCACTAAGTGCACCAAGAATATGTATGACCCTTAATCCAGACTTTTCTATCAGTATCATTCAACTCGAAGGCGCTTGATGTGACAGCTAACAATCTCAAGTGACATAGACTCGGTCAATCACTACTACAAGCCTACTGATCTGTACATGAAACTCATTCTCCTGGCAGCCAAGTTTATCTTGCTACTTTGGGGTTCTAGGGTATGAGGGAGTTTCCGGAGCTTGAGAGACCTAGGGTAGTATTTGGCCCCCCCCCCCCCCCCCTATACTCTCGTATGCGCCATGATCAACTATGGAGGAGCAGATTTACCAACACAACAACACAACAGGGGTGGGTTGCAAGCGTACTTCATCCATGACAATACAAACGGGTTGTTTGGAAAAACAAGCCAAGAAGGTATGGTTATCAACTCTTACTGAAAAATTGCTGTCATAATGATCACGGGGCATACCTGTGCTCCGCCAGCAGCTAAAGGGCATTACACCCCTTTTGAAATGTCCTGCGACATGCTCTCACAAACGGTCTGTGAACGTCATTTACCTCCGTGGGATACATATTCTCCAAGACAATCATGTGCAGATCTCATGATTTGGCTTGCCCGGCTGTCCTCCGAGGTATAAGAGCATTCTCAGCATTAACAGGCGACTGATCAATCGAATAAAGAACCGAAGATGGGACGCAAGGAGAAGCAGATTCTTCACGGTCTTTGGTTGCGTCGGGGTCGTAAGTATCAAAGTCCGTCGCAAAGCGCGGGGCTTTACGATAGCTGTTGTCCCCTGACCTTACGTTCTGTGCCGTCCCATCCATAAGATCAGCGGCTACGCAGTGGACGACGTGGCTTACGGAGCTTGCCTAGACCAGTTGACGCTATCTGCGGACTGAATACCGGTTACAGGTCCTCGAATGAAACCAATTTTACGCCAACCCAGGTTGTCTCATGTATGCAGTGGAGGCCTCAGAAGCACGGCCTGTGAACACTCAAAGGGCCCCTTACACATTGCTATCATCAGACCGATGTCATAACATCACACAGCGAATAGCCAGGTTAAACAGCGGTAGCCCTGGCCTTTGCAAGGGGCAAAGGAATGGACAGGAAGATCTCGTCAAGTGCGAGCACCCAATAAGACATCCGTACGCCCTCTCGCTCCTCAATAGGGCAATTTCTCAATGTGACGGATGCTGCTACTGCACCTCGTTAATTGGCTACCGTGGCCTTGATTCAAACCAGGCCATGCAGTCTCGGTCCTTTTGGGGCGTATTTCTGCGTTACGATCTGTCACCACCAGCTCTTCTGGGAACCCCATTAGGCAGCCTGGAAATTGATAGCAATCTGTTTTTCAGATGAAATCCAGTGCGCCAATTTCTTGTCACATGGACGGCCACCTCCTTAAGCGCTGTATTTCGTGATTTTCTCTGAGCTGGCGTTCGGATTTCATGACACTGTTGTCGGAAACCCCGAAATTACAGATTGCTCTAATTCACTCACTAAACACATTTTCTTCGTGTCAATTTAATCACTCACCAATCTCGATTACCTGCTGATAACAGGGCAAGCTCCCACTTTGTTGCGTATCGCTCGGTAGGATTCGATAGGTATACGCTCTTTGCGTCCCATGCACAACAGGTATGACGGACAAAGTACCCACAGCTTAGAGAACACCGATTTGGCGCACATTATAGGTTTGACATCATGCCAGTATCGAGTAATAAAACGACACACCAATGTTGAAGTCAAAAAGAGAGCGGGAGGGTGTCCGTTTCCATTTCTACTGCTGAGCCCAGCCAACGGATAAAACAAGAGAAGAAACCATATCAACGATGTAACAAAGAATCTTCCAAAACAGACACTCCCGCCTGGAATAACTTTACCTCACTCAAGAAAAGACTTTAACGGCACTTTTCCTGCGGGACAAGCGAAAGTCTTTTTTAATGTACACTGGCAGTAGTAAGACCGTGGTGGTCCCATCCCCCAAACCCTCCCAGTTGGGCACTTAGGTACCAATGTACCCTCCTACCTATGAAATACATATTCTATGGTCCATGTACACCCGTTAACAAAGAACTGGCACTGATTGGGTACCAACACTGTCTTTCGTCATAAGTTGATTGACACCGACACTTTCCGCTGGCTACATGGCCATGTCTTACAGGTCCATCTTCCGGTCCACCGCAGACTGCCAGTTGTTCGTGCAGTTCTCGACCAAAACCTACCCACCACCATCATCACCCAATATACTAGGCTATTCCGTCGTCCGGTACTCGCTATAAATTGCTCAGCAGTATCAAAATACCTTTCTAAGAGGTTTTGTGGCAGATATTATCAGCGATAGTGGGATGCTATATAAACGCAACAATCAACGATATACTACAAAACCTCGGCGAGTGAGAAAGGCTAACACTCAATTACCTAGGTTCCCCGACATGCGGACTTCATACAAACCCGTGGCTTCACGCGTGACATTCTGAGACAAACGCAAACGCATCCGAACGAAACCAAGCTAAAGTCAGAATCCTATTCCTCCAGAATAGGCGTCGGTTTTCCTTGCCAGATACAGTGCGATGAGAGGTGTGGCAGTGCTGGGGAATCAACTGGGAATTTCATGGCCGCCTGTGCCATACTACTAAGCGATGTCAGCAGGGTTCCGGGTAGCTGCTCCTCGTGTATGCAGATAGGCCGATTGGGCTCCCATCCACCCTTGGTTTTCTAGCCGTGGAAAGTTTATACCGATTAATAATACATGGGTGGTGCCCGAAGAACTTTCGATAATGCGGGGTTATTTGAAACATGGGCTATGCAAACGCGCCTGGTCGGGATGGATATTAGAACTACTGTGTGGGTGAGAGAGAAGGAATTTGGATGGGTTAATCAAATAGAGAAGAGGTTGTTTTGGTTCAGGAGCTGGACTGGTCTAGAGGCTTCCATGTAGGAAGCAAATGATCGCTCAATAATATCCTTGTCTCGTCGTGTGGGAATGGTGGGCAAACAAGAAAATGTGGCTTTTCTCGAGCTCATATTCTTATCTATATGACAGCGGATATGTACCATGGCTCTGGACGAGGGAGGCAGACTGTCCTGGAGAGCGGAATAGGCTATAGCCCGGTGCTATGGACACTGACACCCGCCTGTAACCCCGTACTTATATAATCTGTAGCGAAGGAGGACGATAGCTGGCAGAGATGTTCCAGCGTTAATGTTTGGATCTATCAACTCCTATCTAAGGAGTACTAGACTATTCCCAACCTCTGGCCCTATTAAACTAGTGAATGGAAACCCTGGAACCGGGCGGACAAGCTTGCTGCAGAATCATCACCGGGGGACCTATTGCAGAGCCACTGCTTCTTGAATCTCAATCTCAAGATCGATCAGATACCTTATGTCCTCTGAAGCGAATCAGGAGCTTGAGCAGGCCGATGGAGAAAAGTGTGCCTGCATAACAGTGCAGGGTGTATGAGGACCTAGAGAGAGCATCCACTCAGTGGCAGGAAAGGGACAATGAAGAGGCTTGATGAGTCCGGAGTAAATACCGGGGCTGCTGATTGGCTGACCCGGGACACGGGACTGATTACGTGATCCGCCTCGAACCCGCCCTTTCGATCCCTCATGTGGCTTTTCCCCGTGCTTGGGGCAAGGAGAGAGCGAGAGCGACCGAGTCGGCCTATCTTCCGCCTCCTCATTTCCAATCCCTTCACCTTCTGCTCGACCCAGACGATCCTGGCAACCTCTTCTAGCGGTCTGGTTGCGCTACAGACGACCGTCAACTCCCACCGCTCCCGTTATCATCGTGATTTCCCCCCTTTAGAACGCGCCGGATTGTCCGCCCGCAGAACCCCCCCGATATACATGACGTCTTTGTTGACATCCGTTTCAGACCGTCAATTCGCCAGTAACACTTTACTACAATAACTCAACTAGCATTGATCCAACTGCCGCAAACAAGGAACACATCAGCTTGCACTCTCCGATAGAGCGGCGCTCCTCGTAGCGTTCGCGACTCGCGTTTTTCGCTGGTGTCGGTTCACCCCCTTGCGATCCTTCTTTCGAACACGCGGAATTAGGCGATCGGACCCAGGTGTATGGGGAGGAAGCAAACATGGCTGGTGGAGGAAATATCAAGGTGGTGGTGAGAGTGCGGCCTTTCAACAGCAGAGGTGAGTTACTTATGGCATTGGCAATGCGACCAAGCCCCCCCCCTCCTAGACTGGACTGACCCCGGTGTCTTCTTCCCGCATTCTAGAAATCGACCGTGGTGCAAAATGTATCGTTCAAATGAAAGACAACCAAACCGTCCTTTCCACTCCACCGGGCGCCGATGATAAAGCCCGCAAGGCTGGTGGAGGGAAAGGCGGGGATGGAGGACCAAAATCATTCGCCTTCGACAGATCGTATTGGTCTTTCGACAAGAACGCACCGAATTTTGCGAGCCAGGATAACCTCTTCCTCGATTTGGGTGTACCGCTATTAGACAATGCCTTTCAGGGCTACAACAACTGTATCTTCGCCTACGGTCAGACGGGTTCTGGAAAATCATATTCCATGATGGGTTACGGCAAAGAGTACGGTGTGATTCCGAGAATTTGTCAGGATATGTTCGAGCGCATTCGCACAATCCAGCAAGACAAGAACCTCGGCTGTACGGTGGAAGTCTCGTACCTTGAAATCTACAATGAGAGAGTACGTGATTTGCTCAACCCTTCGAATAAGGGCAATCTTAAAGTCCGTGAGCATCCGTCGACTGGTCCCTACGTCGAGGATCTGGCCAAGCTTGTAGTGCGCTCTTTTGAGGAGATCGAGAACTTGATGGACGAGGGTAACAAGGCTAGAACGGTTGCTGCCACAAACATGAACGAGACCTCCAGTCGTTCCCACGCAGTGTTTACGTTGACCCTCACACAGAAGCGCCATGATGCGGAAACATCTATGGATACGGAGAAGGTGTCGCGCATTAGTTTGGTCGATCTTGCAGGTTCGGAAAGAGCGAATTCTACTGGCGCGACCGGTGCGAGACTGAAGGAGGGTGCGGAAATTAACCGTTCGCTGTCGACCCTTGGTCGTGTCATTGCCGCTCTCGCTGACGTGGCGGCTGGCAAAAAGAAGAATGCATCAATGGTCCCGTATCGTGATTCTATATTGACATGGTTGTTGAAGGACTCATTGGGAGGTAACTCCATGACAGCGATGATTGCTGCGATTTCACCCGCCGACATCAACTTCGAGGAGACTCTCAGTACTCTCCGCTATGCAGACTCGGCGAAGCGAATCAAGAACCATGCCGTTGTGAACGAAGACCCCAACGCACGAATGATCAGAGAATTAAAGGAGGAGTTGGCCCAACTCCGGTCGAAACTTGGGGGTGGTGCCGCAGGTCCTGGAGCAGGCGGCGCTGCTGGCGCTATACCAGCAGAAGAATATTATCCTCCAGATACTCCTCTAGAGAAGCAACTCGTCTCCATACAACAGCCGGATGGTTCGGTCACTAAAGTCAGCAAGGCAGAAATCGTCGAACAGTTGAACCAGAGCGAGAAGCTTTACAAAGACCTGAATCAAACTTGGGAGGAGAAGTTGGCAAAGACTGAAGAGATTCACAAAGAGCGAGAGTCTGCTCTGGAGGAACTTGGTATCAGCATCGAGAAAGGTTTCATCGGACTGAGCACGCCTAAGAAAATGCCACATTTGGTCAATCTGAGCGACGACCCGCTGCTCGCTGAGTGTCTCGTTTACAACATTAAACCGGGAACCACCATAGTCGGAAATATGGACCAGGGCAGCCATGTCGAAATAAGATTGAACGGCTCGAAAATCTTAGACGATCACTGTAGGTTTGAGAACGTGGACAATGTTGTCACCATTATTCCCACCGAAGGCGCAGCAGTCATGGTGAATGGATTGCGGATCGATAAACCGAAGCGACTCAAGAGTGGATTTCGCATAATCCTGGGCGATTTCCATATCTTCCGTTTCAACCATCCCCAGGAAGCGCGTGCTGAACGAGTTGAACAGAGCTTACTGCGTCATTCCGTCACCACAAGTCAACTCGGCTCGCCGGCACCGAACAAAACCCACGATCGAACCCTGAGTAAAACAGGCTCGGAGGTGGATGGCGATTCGAGCAGAGCGGATTCCCCGATGCCCTCCCAGCGCGGTAGGGAATCCGATTGGTTTTATGCTCGCCGTGAAGCTGTCAGTGCGGTGCTGGGACCCGATCAAATCTCCCATATGCCTGACGATGAGCTGGACGCCTTGTTTGAGGATGTGCAGAAAGTGCGGGCAACTCGTCGTGGGCTAATGGAGAACGAGGAAGACTCTGACTCGCTCAGTTCGTTCCCGGTGCGGGATAAGTACATGTCCAACGGAACGATCGATAATTTCTCGTTGGACACTGCCATCACGATGCCGGGAACTCCGCATCCGAATGACGAGAATGACGGCCAGAATGGGGGCGAGGCTACTCTGCAATCGGTGCGTCAGGATATGCAGCGCC